GGATTTACTACCACTTGTGAAAGTCAGGCCTTAGTTTTATGATTTTTGGCAACGCCCAAGGAAACGCAGCCCCGGAAAAAGTCAGAAAGTCAGACAGAAGTCAGGCCTTAATCCCTTCCCCAAGTAAACGCTGCCTCGCGAGGCACAATTTGCAAACATTATGTGGTTTTTAGCTATATTTCGGAAGCCACTTCCCCAAGTAAACGCTGGATTTTAAATTGCCGATATTTCGCTCCATTTTGCCGATTTCTCAACCCACTTCCCCAGGGAAACGCTGGATTTAGGAGATCAGAACCATCGTGTGTTGATTGCCCGGGAATGCTGCATCTTGGTCCGTCTAAAAGAACTCTTGTGCATATGGATTAGCCGAATCTGGTCAAAAGGTTTAGGGTTTAGGATTCACAGACGAAGTCACAAGGACTGCCAAGGGCAAGAAGCGCCCAAAGGTGTCTTCTGCAAATACTGCTTCTAATAACCGGAATTGGGGCTTCGGAAATCAGGGGTCTGTTTTGGGGAGTCCCTGCAACAAGGGTCATAGTACTTTGGGGAGTATGAAGGGGAACCCTTGCTCTTGAAAATTCCCGGACAGTGACACTCCCAAGACAATGATATTCATACTGCATACTTGCACTGAGGCTCATAAAGAAGGACAAGCAAACTGTGATCAAATCAGACAACCTACGCAGCAGCATTAGACTCAAATGTGGATCATTTGCGGATCCCTGGGAACCACACAGCTCTCTGGAGTCATTATGCGACAGCTCACGGAAGCCTCAGTAGCAAAATGAAATGATGAATGACATGCTGCGTGCTTACAGAGGTCATGACAAAGTACTCCGAGGCAGTGACGAGGCTTGATTTCCGGCAGCAATGGCGGATCAGGTGGTGGCTTGAAGGCCTGCGGCGGGCAACTCCATCCGGGGTTACAAGTACTTGGGGGGCACAGACAGCCCTGCCTCCTCGCCGGAACTGTCGGGGCCAAAGTCGCAATAGCTGTTGAGGTTTCGCGGGTGTAGATGCGCTCTCTGCACCCTTAGCAGGTGTCTGACTTTGTCTTCCCGCACGCTCGAAGTAACAAACCCTGAAATTCCCAGCTCTAAAGCACAAACATGCAACTATGGAGGCACCGCAGGACACGTCCGAGTACCTTGCCCTTGAACCTCCATCAGCTTCTCCACGTCGTCAAGACATTCTGCAACCATGTCCTTGGCCAGAGGCTCACCCATCAAGGGCACTAGTTGGGGGGTCCAGTATACTAGCAGCTAGCAGACACACTTCTGTCTCGTTGCTGGGGTAGGCTCTGCAAACATCTTCTGGTGCTCGTGAAAGGTCATCTTCTTCGTGCCCTGATACGTTCGCGCGGTCAATATTTCTGCTTCGGGAAAATTTGCCAGCTTAGCCTTTTTGTTGACGGCTTTCTGCAATTCTTTTGCGATCGGCGAGATGATGATGGACCTGCAGCGCACATGCAGTAGGACCACTGGCAAAAGCATCTGGCCGTGAAGCTCTGAAAAGTCTAAGCATGGCGCCCAGCAGCTTCAAGAAGCAACATCTCGCTCGGATCCAACTCCTACCACGGAATTGCGGAGCAACACGGAAGCTCCCAAAATGGGCATCGGCTAGCCAGCATAGCCAGCTTCCGGAAAAAGGACAGGCATGATGAGCCGACGCAACTGGCGCCTCCTCTTCTGCTCCTCCAGTGGCTTCCAGTGCCTGGAGGCGAAAACACACAACGTTCTGTGAGCCAGATTGCCAGACCGGGAGTTAGCCAGCACCCAAGGATCCCTTTACGCTGCAGCGCAGACGCAAAGCTAAGCAAGGCAATGCAATGCAAAGCATCACCCGTCAATGATGACACGTGGGCTTGCTTGTTCGAGGAACCCTACCTAATACCTCTCTTGAGCACGACATCCAAAATTCCAGGGGGGATTCTACCCTCAGACAACACACATTTGTTCCCGCTAAGCTCGCAGCTTCAGCGGTTTCCTCCGTGCGCTTCAGCTGAACCAAGGCCGGATTCTGCTGCAGCCTTCATTCAACCCGAAACGATGAGAGCCTCCATTTTGGCATGGACATCCATGCAGTCTTGGTTCCCAGCATATTGACCAACATCATCCGCGCATAGACCGCGCTGGAAGTTGGCAAGGGCAAGTTCCTTTCGGTGCAGGATGCGGTAGTTCCAATCTACCGATTCTCCAAAGATCCCCGCAGCAAACTCTCCAACATCTCCAACGCTCTACCTACTCTACTTAAGCTCCCCAAAATCGCGAAAAGCCCTCAATGTCAGGATCCCCCTAGCAACAGGAAGCCAATTCTCGGAAGATCCCTCCCCAGCGCCTTGCGGCGACTGCCAGACAGCACTCAGCTGCTGGGATGGCTCCCAAGTGTCTTTCTCCCTGAAGCTCCAGCAGACGACCCGATAGCACCTGCGAGTCCCGAAAAAAGATCCGCCATGTTTAGTTTCAAAGGCTGTGGCGGGCCTCCATCTTTACCTTGGACATCAGCAACTCCACCCTGGCCGCATCGTGCTGCGTTGCCTTGGTCTCCTCAAGGCCCTGCCAAGACAACAGCTAGGTCACACCTTCTGGAGACCTGGATATTGCGTCTGCGCCTGTTGGATGTGAGCTGCTGCAGCCTGGAGGCGGCCCTGACCTAATGGTATCTCTGCTTGTGCTAGCCTACTTGGTCCAGTTTCCATGCTGGGTGTGGTGACATGCTTCCTTCTGTGAGAGCTGTGGCACGGACTGACCAAGAGATTGACCATGTAGCAGCCTGGCTGGCATCTGTCTCTGCTTTGGGATAGTCTCTGACACAACCCCTGGGCTTGCTACTGTAGTAGTTTCCATTCTCTTTTCCGTTATCCCTACATACCCTTACAGTACCCCTGTATGATCCCCATAACTCAGCCTGCGCAGGAGCCCGAGGCCCAGGCGCAGGCGCATCCAACACTTGGAACCAGGATGCACTCTCAGTCGGCTTGAGCTTGCAGCTCCGAGGTTGCAGTCCTGCTGCGAAGCTGATCAGCGCCAGCATTCAGACAGCCAGAAGCTTGAAAAAAACTGATTCCCTGATTTTCTCCATTCTTCACATCCTTGCTGCCATTCACTGCGACCAGTAAGCTGGTTCAGAGGGTACATCAGCATCGAATGAAGATTTGTGTACAAACGTTTCCAACACATGCCTACTTTAGCTTCAAGGAAACGCGGTGCTGGTGGCGATTAACGGTCGTGGTGGCAGCGGCGCCACCTCTTCATCTTTCGCAAAGCAGCCTTTCCCCACGTTGTAGTGGATCTTGGGCTCCAGCAAAGCATCATCAGCATGCACCTTTTGGTACGCTAGCTTGAAATCCTGCCGAAAGTAAACATGTGCATGTAAAGGGTGCGCCAAAAAGGCTGAAACTAAATGCCCAATGATGCTCATGATGCCAGCGCGTGCTGGAGCGCGGGAAAGGAGGGGAGGGTCCGGGATTGATGAGGACTTACTTCATCGCACCTGATCAGTAGCCCGCCTCTTGAGACGCCCTCCTCCCCCTCTTCTTGAGTCTTTACAGTACTTCTTGTTGGTAGTCTTGTTATTCAGAACATGTTCTTCTCTGTTCAAAGTGGTGTGCGTATCGTGGGCAAGGTCTTTGCTGCACTGTCCTGGCTGGACTTTGTCCCGGTGACGGCAAGGCGCCGGAGGAACTCCATGCCGTACAGCACCTCAAACCGCCGAGAATATGCTGCAGCATGGCTGGATACTCTATGACATTATGGGTTCCAAAAATCGGGGGCCCTTTTCCAAAGAAACAGAACATGCCCCGTTCAGAGAAGCTCCCACATTCGTGTTCAAGCTCTGTGGCCTCCTGGATGGCCTTTCCAAGGTCGCCCTTGCCTTCCTGCACCTGCTCAAGAATTCTTGGCTTCTACCCCAAAGGGGCTTCCCTGCTTCCACGTGCATCCCGCTGCAATCCCAACATAATGACCTGCAATTTGATCTGTGCTATTCTATGATATTCTATGTCAACACTCCCCAGGCTTGATCCATCTCACCATGTGCTATTGACTGTCAAAGATCTCAACTAGTTACGGGGTGTGCCTTGGCTCGCATGAGCCGGACTTCTGCACACAGCTCTCCTTCCTCCTCTGTCAGGGTCCTCTCAGGTCACGACAGGCCAAAGAGACATGCTCGCAGCATTGCATCGTGGATGAGCCTCACGGGATCTTGGAAGGCTGGCTCCTCAGACCAACAGAAAAAAAAATTCTCCTCGTTACTCACCAGACTTCATTGCCATAAGACTCCTCCGCACCAGACTCCCGAGAGGCACGGCTCGCAGTCGACCAGGCCTAAGGTTAAAAAGCGATTTCAATTTGCAAGATATTGTCGAGCGAAGGGGAATATGGCTTAGCTCGGATTTTCGGCTTGATATGACTCAACTGCCCCCGGTAATCAAGGCTGGGGCTTCTCTATCATCATCGTTTCCAGTGACTTCCTGGTAGGCTGCGGCAATGACATGTCGAGACCCGGGGCAAGGCAACTATTTTGGCATTGCCTTCCAGATCTCCACCAGCAATGCATCTGCTTTGTCAAGCAAGGCCAGGCGGTCCTCACGATCAATGCAGCGCAAATGCACGATCTGTTCCGGCACACGACTTACATCATCGAGTCCTTCTCCTGTGGCTCATTGAGCTTCGGGAAAACTCGCTGGTAAGAGCAGACCTCTCTGCAATGCTTGCTTGCATACCGGAACATGACTAGATGGCTCCATGCGGAAACCCTGGGGCTGTAGCTGCAATGAGGAACTCTGCCTCCAACGCAGTCCGGACAGCTCAAACTATCCTCACTCACAACTAATTGCTCTAGCCTTGAGGTACTTGAAGAAGCGCAGATTGTAAGCAGCGGTTCCAGTCACTGGCGCAGCCTTCCCATCTACATCCAGGAGGCCACAAGAAGTTGCAAAGGTCTGCATGGTCCTTGCACTCCCGCCTCAGCGTCAACTGCTCCTGCTCCTGCTCCAGTCAGGGTCAGCTCCATCAGTTGGTTGACAGCCTGCAGCTCGCACGCGCAAGGAAGAAAGAAGTGTGCGACGCATGCGATCGCACAACCTGGACGTTGGCGGCAGATGCAGGCTCCTCGGAGCAGCGGAACGGCCTCAGCTGCATACTTGTTCCCTGACTTTGCGTTGCGGTTGCGGGAACAGGTTCCACGGGAGCCCAGGCTGTGCAGCTGTGATCTCCAGGGCTTCAGTCACAGCGACATCCAAGGCCTCTCGACAAATCAGTCATACTCACAATGGCTGAGGCTTTGTTGCTATATTGGGGTTACTGAGGATGATGGAAAATAAAATGGAGACGACTATAATGAATGGTGTATATATTAGAGTTACATAGGGATAACGGAAAAGAAAATGGAAACTACTACAGTATAGTAGGTGTTGTGGCCAACCTGGAGGATCCATACAGATACATCCCCTATATACCCTGCATAATCCAAGTATTGTAGCTTCCTTGTTTCTTTTCCGTTATCCTGATCCCATATATACTATTGTGGTTTCTCGTTTCTTTGCCATTATTATCAGATGCCCTCTTTGAAGAGTTTGGCAACCCCATTGTGAAGTGCCAGAGTCCCGCATCCACATTGCTGGCCACAAGTTTGACCGGACTGCCCCTCTGTGCCTCTGTGGCCATGAGACCCCGGGGCCTGGCATCCAAGCGCATCACAAACCGAAAACGTGGGTGTTTTCCTGAGTCCAAAAGTCCTTCACCCATCAACTGCTTTGGAGAAAACACCCCCACGTCAGGGACTCTCCTCAGCCAACTACCCATCCCAGCATCACAAAAGCAAACATAGATCCTGCGTATGTTGCCTCCGGCTGCTTTCTTTCGACAAGTCAAGTCCAGGGCGGCATGATATTACCCGCTTCAAGTTTGCTAGGCTTACTCAAACTGATCATTCCTGCGCCTACTGGACTTCTCTACCAACAGTTGACAATCAGATGCATGACCCTCTAGATTCACATATGTTTGCAAGCGCAAAGGTCCACCATCTAAATGTCTCCGTTTTGTTGGGCCAGCCTGTTGTGTTTTGCTCAGCCCCAGCCAGGATTTGACAGGCCAGGAGGGCGTGCAAAATGGCTCTGACTTGGCTTGTGTGCAACCAGTCGCGCCCCAATTTGCGTTTTCGTGTCAACCTCCTTTTTATCCCTTTCCTTCTTCCATTCCTTTTGACTGTCTGAAGTCCTTCGCGTCTTCCCTGAAATTCCTGACTTTATTGGACAGCGCTCCAGGACGCAGACATACTCAAATGCGCTATCGTCTAAACTCCTAGTATACCCGTTAATAATCCCCATCATGCTCCCCTATATATCCGCCATGTAAGAACTTTAGACTATAGGTCAAGTGATGCCGCAAACCGCCACACGCATCACAAGTTGCCGAGGTCACTTGTCGTAGCCGCGTGACACCGCATAGAGAGCCAGCCAGGCCTGAGTCGCGATGTTGCTGGAATTGAAAATCGAAGTGAAAATCATCAACAAGAAGCACAGTGCTTGTAACATTATTGAGATCAGTCTTGGAAATTGTGCAGGAAGCGTCATGGTCAACCATATAGTAGGCCGAGCAGTTGTCATGATTTGTCTGCGCTCCAGACGGAGGTAATAGTACAACCGTTCTTCATGGAACCCTTGTTTGCAACAGCATGCACCGGAAACGCGCCACAAGCCTCTGTGAGCGAGCGGCAGCGGATCAGCGAGTGCGCCGCCATCAGCCTTGGGGAAAGTATTTGGCGAGTGATCTGATGCTTGAAAACTGGGGCTTTCACCTTCCCTTGATGGCAAGCGTCAGATTCCTTCAGTCCAGCTGGAAAGCTCAACTCTATTCTTGCCTGAAACTGATACTGTGAAGACCGAGCGGATTCCTACAGCTTACATCCATCCAAGCGGTCCTACACACGTCAGTGGCAACGTAGTCGTAGAGCATGCAGACGGGAAGGCAGCGGGCTGGCTGGTATTCCGTGACCTCAGGGCCAGCCACGTATCTTACCGTATATCTGTGAGACCCTGGTCCTGAGAGCGATGCCAGGAGTGTGTTCTGGAAGAAGCTCAAAGCACCAAGGAAGTTTGCACCGTCCACACCTTTGAGGTCTGCATGTGGCCATTAAGTGTTATGAGGCGAGCGGTTCTGCCCTACAGCAGCATGGCATGTGTCCAGCCAAGGACGGGAAAAAAAAGGGCTTAGTGAGCGACCGCCATGAACACTGCTGGGCGGCAGAATCATCCTGCATCATCCCATGCATTCACCGAATCCGAAGGTCATGACAAGCCAAACATGGGAAAGCGGCTCTTTCGCATGCATCCAGTTACCCCTGCGATTGCAATACAGCTTCCTCGTCTCACGCAGGCCGAAGAAAATCTCTCGCAGCCTGTGCCTGCGGGAGAGTTTATGAAACAAAAGCTTTGGTTGAAAATGTGAGGATGTGGGTGCTGCTTTGCTCACCTGGCTTTGCTGACTCCTATATTTGCATTCGCCCTGCTCTCACTTAGTGGGACACAACGAGTCATTGACACAAAGCGCACTGCTTCAGCCAGGAGCGCCTGCCAAGCGCAAACTGATCTCGTCGCGGCGGATTTGGCAGCGCCGTGGTAAGAATGGCCTGCATGCCACGGAGAGAAACAGTGAGAGACGCAGAAGACAAGGAGATAGCAATAGACAAGGAGGAAGGAGATTTCACATTGTTTTTGGCTCCAAAGCAAGTCTTAAAAGACAGCCTTACATTGTCATAGCATGGCCTTCTACATTCTACAGCTTTATCACTGACTTGGCCTCGACAATGTTGGAGGCGAAAAGTGCAGCGTTCAGATGGGCCATCACATCCTGGCCACAAGATCTCGTACTTAGCAATGAAAGCTCCAGACACATGAGTCTGTGCTGCGGCCTTGGGCTTTGTGAGCCGGGCATGCTTCGACAGAATCACCACCTGGGCGCAAGTCTCTTCACCAGGCTCCAACCTGCATCTTCTCCGCGAAGTCCTTTGCCATCCCTCTGCACCATCCATAAAAAAAGCTACCCGATTTGAGCGGTGAGCCGTGAGCAGCAGGATCTCCACTCGGGCAGGATCCTCGCAACACTGTGCGAGTATGTCCGCGTGGCAGTTGTCGAGATGTGGGCAACATGCAAGCGTCCTGCGGTGGGCTGAGGCTGGCTTCGACGCACTTGCTCCAGTTTCTGATGGCAAAGGGGAACTGGAAAACCTTAGTAGAAGCATTGGGGATGTACTGAAACATTTAAGAGCCAGCACGGAGCTCTATCAGAATCAAGATTCAGGAGGTAACGAAAGGAGCCTGCACGCATCTCACAAGGAGTTCTCAGGCCCAGTCCGTGTCCACTGCATCACTCCAGGCATCACGAGCCTAGTGCGGCATTGCATCAGACGCGGCTGAATCCAAAGTGCCAGGTCCTGAGGGCAGCGCCCCACCTGCATCGCCCTCAAGCCTTGTATGCACCGCCAAAACCATCTCAGAAAAAAGCACAAGGGGAGCACGCATCAAGGTTGCGGCCAGAGCAAGTTGCCAAGTTCATGCAAGGCCTGCATGAGCTTGCCCCAGCATGAACTGGCAGCGTAATCGCAGCAATATTGGACACGCTTAAAGTTCTCATGTCTCATAATTAATTGCTCGTACGGCGGCCAACTTGCCTGAACAACCTGGTCTGACATCTGCCGCTTCCGCAAGAGTTCCACCGCCTGGCACATATGCTCTACTCCATCCATGTTGTGACACAATGCAGATCGCCGCCTTTCCGAATATGCCCTACTGCATCCCCACTGTACCGTATAGAACCTCAAGCAGTCCTTGCGACGCCCATCACTATGGCTTCCAATCCAGCCTTGCGATAGGAGGATACCAGAGCAGACGATGCGAGCCTCCCAATCAATCATCATTACCAATAGGCCTACATGTACAAGATGTGGAGCGCTCTGTGATGAGAACCAAAGATGTTGCGCGCCCATGCGAAACAGAAACAAGTCAACGTCCCCCTGTTCGGGTAGTACGGTGAAGCTCGGCAGCCTCAGAGACCTTTCTTTCATCTCTTTGTCTGTGTCGACCAGCTGCCCACGCTGAACTGCCACGCTGAACCTCAAAAAACATTTTCCAAGCAGCTCTACAAGAGGCCACGTTGAGTCCCTATGCTTTCCCCAAAAAGGACCCGGCGCTTCACGATCTTGAAGGAACTCCGCTAGGAGGAGGCGACTCTTTCGAAGCCTGGCGTCCGCAGCAAGCTGCGCTGGCTGTCTGCCTCCACCGATTGCTCTGATAGCATTGCTCAGCCATGCGCTGCTCCATCGCTGCCGGAACTGCACGAGAGGCCAAATTGTGGGAGTCCTGCGAACAACTCATCTGCATGACATCTCTCAGAAACCAAAATGCAACGCAAGTGGAAAGACCAAGACCTCCAGCGCCTTCAGCAGGGACCTTGTTGATTATTTGTGTGGCCGTGCCTGATGTCTTCCTCTAGACACTCAGGCACCAGCGACCAGGCACCGTGCAGCTTCTTCTGTCGCTTCGTGAAAGCATCATAGTATTCCGCCCTCGTGCAGAACAATTTGTTCATTGCCATGAGCTTAGCTGCCGGGCCGTGTTCCAACCCAAAACTATGCAGTACGTTCAGCTGGCACAACAGTCACTTGCCCCCAAAGACTACTTGCGCAGCTCTTTCCATCCAGCACCTAGTTTGGGAAAGGCCTGCTTTGAAGTCAGGCATCTCTGCAGCTCCCTCCTAGATGCCCCCTATGTACATGCACTACTTGCGTGCAACAGACTCTGGGATAGGGCTGATGCATGCCACATTGGGCAGCTTTTCTTTGCAGCCTGCCACATCGATCTGAACCTATTCTGGCACCTTTGCCGCCTTGAGTGCGTCTGGCTCCGCTTTTCGAACAGGGAGGTCCGCCAACGGCGGCATGTCAAAGACAATTGGTGGATGATCTGGCCTGATATACCAGGGAAGTCGCGCCGCTGAAGCAGATCAGGTCTTCAGCCTCTACCATGAGGTTTCCCAAAATTAGAGGTCCCTCTGTAAAGGTCACAATAACAGATCATTGTATCTTCCGGTCTCTATGGAGGCCCCTTGTTTATGGAAACCCCCACCATACGTCCGAGCCTATAGCGGAGCGTGCAGGTGGAAGCATTTACAAACAGCGTGCTGCCATCTTCGACCCAGCCATAGGCCTCAACAAACATACAGATACAGATTGCAACCAGGGGGTATGGGGTGGGTGGGTAGAGGGGTATTTACGGGTAGATAAGGGTATGTCGTTGTATAGAGGGTTTTGGGGTATACGAGGGTATACAGGGGTATATTGAGTTGGATATTGCAGGAGTATATGGAGCAATGGAAAAAATGGAAACTATCGTTTTATTTAGGGTGACAAGACTGGAGAACCAATTGAAAAAGAAACCGTAAAATTAAAGGGACTGGGAAAGGTATATTATGCAAAAATAATGTAGTAGTCTACACTACCAAAAATTAAGGACCATAGGATACTACCTGGTTACACTTTGGGATCTTCCCTACCTAATCCCTAAACCCTAAACCCTAAAACATGGACAAAGAGGCCTCATGGATGTGGCCACAGACCACCACAGGAACCCGACGCTTCCTGAGCAGACAAACATGAAAGATATGCCAGTAATAAAAAAAGTAAGAATAGTAGTTACTTATTGTTATTAGTACTACTATTACTCTAATAGTAGTACTAATTATAAGATCAACAGTAATAAGTATTCGATGTCATTGTCTATGCTTCACTGGGCAAAGGTAGCGCATGAACAACTCTCCTTGCAAACAAGGGTTCCGCACTGCTGCCAGCAAGTCATCACAGCCAGCGCGCAGCCCGTTAAAACAGAGGTCCAGGATGCCTCTGCAGGCAGCTAAAGATCGTTTGGCCAAAATTAAGCGTACCTTTTTAAGGGTCCCTATAATAAGGATCATAGTATTTTGGGGTCTGTATTGGGGTTCCCCTATTTAGGAAATGCCTCAGGCACAGTTCTGGAGTTGAAGCAAAACGCCGTCTATGCCTTGAGCTGGACCATGAGTCATCAAAATGTCGGTGTCGTCCGGAATCTTGGACCAAACCTACAAGATGCTTCTTTGCAGGCCGGGCTTACTGCCTCGGAATCATGCGCAACTCAAGCTGATTCCCTGCACATAGGGGCTCACGTGCGGCAAACTTGCCTGGGCGAGGGGCTCCCCTCTCGGTAGGTTGAAAGCCCAATCGCAAAATTCAGGCTGCCACGGCGACCCATAAATCTTGTACCTGCCATCCAGGACGTTAGGTTCGTTGCGGTCCAGGCTTCTGATAAGATGCAGTCTTTTTAGTTGAGGGCCTGTTGGAACAGTCTTTACTAGAGTAGACAGAAGAAGGGGTTTGCTTCGATTAGACATGAAAGGAAATGTCCTACAACTCGTGACACCAAATGCTCTTGTTCTTCTTGGAATTTTCTATGCTAGAGAGTGTCAAGAAGGACAGAAACATTGGAAGAGAAAAGAGTTTGGTTTGGGAGGCTCTGGGAGGCCATAAGGCAGGGCGCTGTCATGGCACTCAAGAATGGCGTTTGAAACTAAAAGTCAGAAATGGATACTAACAGCTAGATGTTGTCCTTTGCACGAACTGCTGCTTTATACTCCTTCAAGGGTCCTTGCACCAGCACATTAAACACACGCATCAGGTCAACATGATTTGTGACTGATCCTTGCCAGAATGCGCACAAACTCACCAAGACACCCAAAGACTTCCACCGCATTGTCTTCCAGGTAGGTACAACCGCCTGAGCCATGTCCCTTATGTTGCCAAGACCCATTTGCACAGTCTGTAGTCTGCTCTTGAAATGGATTTCCCACAAAAATCATGAGCTGCTGCCAGAGAACCTGCCAGCGCACTTCTGGCCTTCTCGCAGTTGGCAGTGTCTCGACCATGTTTTCGCATAAACTCCTGAGCTGTACGCAGCTCTTGCCTGAAATGACTGTAGCAGGCTCCTCAATATCACCAAATGCGATGGCATAGAACAAGCATCTGGCTCGAAGGTGAGGTCGTGATTCCCAGCTATAACGATCTTCTCCCGAGCAGGGTACTCTTTCAGCCACTCGGAGAAGCTTTCCACCTTCACGCACCCCATCGTCCACAGGGAACATGAAGCACTCATCATGTGAGATATGACACTGCCACTGACGCGGAAGGCACGACAGTCCGTGCATGGAGACTTCAAATTCCTGCCTGGCTCACCTCGCCCTTCATTGTGAAGTCCCCTGCATGGAGCAGGACCTGGGTTCGAAGAAAATCAAATCAAAGGCCAAGTCACCAAGCAAAGAGTCAGTTGCAGCCTCAGGGCATCTGCTTCGGGACAATGTTGCGGAGGAATGTTTCCATGCTTCCCATGCGTATCCTCAATTAATTCGCGTTGCAGATTTTAAGCCTCACTTGTTGTGTACCAAGCTTCGCTGAAGCAGACGAAACGCGTCCAACCCTCCAGCTTTGGTTGCCTCGGCTGTAACAGTGAATTCTGTACGAAGACCTACTTGCCATGTGCATCACATCAGCTGCGCTGGGGGACGCATGTGGATCTTCCACCACCTTCGCCTCAATCCGTCGCGGATCTTCCACCACCTTCGCCTCAATCCGTGGCATGCCATCGCGGCAGGGGTCCATCTCTTTTTCCGAACCTACACTTCCTCTGGCTTCGCAAGCACAACTGGGAACCAGCTAATCTATTAGCAAGCTCGGACCAGCATGCTTCTCTCAGATGCTTGAGCCACAACCCGAATTCCAAAACATGTGCACGTCCCCGAGTTCTCAAGTGCCTCAACGCGGTAGGCCTGATGCGTCAGAGACCAAGCAGTGGCGGGCCTCTTCCTGTAGAGCTGCTCGGGCTCGCTCAGCTCCCCCTGAAGAGCCAGCTGACGCAGCAGCTTGCGCGGCCTGGAGCCGGTGACAACAAGTTCCCGTTGTTGTTGCTTGAAAGAAGGCTGGGGCAAGTGAGTGACATAGTGGGACACACGTGTTGAGGAGCCGGCAACTTCTTCTGCTGCATCTGACAGGAACATGTCACTGGCACCACTGCTTTGTAACAACAGATTCCGGGCACCTCAAACGTGGACTTCGACTCAGCCAGGTAGCGCTGGGTGTTGGCCTTAGGCATCGCAGGGCTAAGGCTTGCTTCAGGAGGCCTTTTGGCAGGTTCTGTGACTTGATGCGGTGCAAACAATATGAGGACCTCGCAAGAGCGCGATTCGACAAGTTGCAGATCTCCTTCTGAGCCTGAACTTCCAGCACACGAGCGCTCAATACAAGCCTAGCTAGTGCCACTTCAAAGTCAAATTATCATATCAACCACGGAGAAAAAAAGCTAACATGGAAGTGCATTGCACATGAGCGCACCCCGATCATCAGAGGCAGGAATGTCGTCGCATACACGGAGCACGTTGCGTCATTGAAGCCGCGACCTTGAACAGCACCAGCAATGACAGGCACCCAGCTTGAAAGAAAATCCAGTCAGAAAGACAGAAAGCCAAGCAGATGACACAGTACGATGATGTTGCTCCAGCGCCTGTTCCAATTGACAGCTTCTCATGGAAACATGGTCTACAAGTTTCAGAGAAGCGGTAGTTTCCCAAAATGGGGGGACCCCAGTATATACCCCAACATACTAAAGTCCCTCCAATAGGGGCCCCCACAAGGGTACCCATAATGTTGGGAAACCCCCAGGTAGTCTGCTGCGGTTGCCTCATGTGGTAGAGGCACAGCACGGAAAATGCGACGAGCTTGGCCTTGGAGGTATCATGACTCCAAAGACAACAATAGTAGTAATAATAATAGTAATAGGAATAGTAATAACATTAATGTTGTTAGGAATAGTAATAGTAATAGTACTAGACTAGTAGTATTAATAGTAGTAGTAATATTAATAGAAATAGTAATCATAATGGGGGACCTCAGCCTGAATTTCAACCTGAACCACGAGGGCTCAAAGCCCGAAGGAGGTCATGCATTCCTTTTTGCCCATGTTCAGGGCTCTGGCCACACTTACCACATCCAGCTCTGGAACCTTCTCGAACCAAACATCATGTAGCTCCTCATCTACTGCCTGCACGAACGCTTGCACAGAGATGGCTCCGGGGAATGAGAATGGCTACAAGTTACAAGTTCTGCACGTTGCCGAAGCAAGTGCCAACGGAAGACTCGCCTCCAATTCCTTGACGGCAATCTGCGCGACTGCAGCCGACCGCTCTTCCTTTCCATGTTGAAAGGCCATTCCAAGTAATACAAATTAATTCGTGGAAGGCCTCATCCATTGCCTCAAGTCTGCGAGCTGCCTGCACCCGCACTCCCAAGTGACAATTGAAAGCTAAAAGAAGCCAGAATGGACACAGCTTGGAGTTGGACCGCAGCAGAATCGTGGCCAGCTTTCATAGGATCTGCTGCTGCCTCCGGTTATTCAGCACAGGGCAACCGCACTGCCCAGAAACAGATCAACTGCTTGGCTTCCAGCCCACTTGAGCTTGAGTCGAAGCATGGCATTGACTGCAAGTTCTGCCATAACCTTGGGCTGGCAAGTCTTGCTGCATCTTGCTCATCTAAGTTCCTCAGAAGTCTTTGCCCGCAGCAACCCTTCACCATAATCTGTTAGCCCCTCTTGACAAGGGAATGCAATCATCAATCCCTCTTCTAGGCTGAGCTAGGCACGGCAAGGCTTAGCCACACGTCTGTCACCGGCTCCTGCATTGATGAGAAAGTCAGTGATTCAGTCAGTCCGTCCGTCAGTCAGTCGATGTCTTCCTAAAAAACTACCACTGAAAAGATATAGAGACGCAGCCTGCTAACAACAGGAAAAAAGGCGTGAGGAGAATGTGGGGATGATGCTGAGAGTCTCCCACACGAAGGAGCACAATTGTCCAGGACGCATCCGCACACGCATGCTTTGTCTTCAGAGGCCCGCATTTGGACTATGGCCATTCGTGAAAAGAGTGGTGCGCCCCCATGTGTAACATGAGGCGAAAAAATGAACACAAGTCTGTTCACATGCCTTGTGAGTGCTGTATCATTGGGAAAAGTACGCAACGAAACCCAATCTGGCCTCCGCTTGCTCCGGCTCCTCCAGGGAGGTGGGCAACATCAGTTTCTCATCATTCTACGAGTGCCAGAAATGGAGAAAGAGAAGTCACACCTTCATGAAATACTAAAAATGTTCATCATCATCATCACCACCACCATCATCATTACCATGTTAATTGGGAGCAGCATACGTACAAGCGACTACGAATGAGACATCGCATTTACAACTGTCAGCCACTTCTTGACAAGAAGTGCCAGGACAAGGAAGCGTGCGTTCAAAGGCTGGACAAACTAGCATTGTAAAACCGCTACAGGTACAATCTCGTTCCAACAATTGGCGTTATCCTTCCAGCTTCCTGTGTTATTGTTGCCACATCATCCTTAGCAGTAAATCTCAATCGCCCTAAACTCCAGGCACACGTGTCATGTGATACATACTATACTATGTGGGAGTTCTAGAAATTTAAAGCAACTGTTTGTGAGTCCCCCAAATCAGGATTCAAGTATGTTGGCAGCTATATTGAAGGCCACTCATGGATGGAAACGCCTGAGACCGTTTTAATCCCAACCCATGTCACGCTCCATTTTTTCCTGTTGATATTACATGATGAGGGGGGGTCCCTACTTACGGGAACCGCGTTGCCCAATTGCCTTCGCTTCTTCCGGTGCATCATCCTCGGCGCCTGACGTGACTACGCATCAATGCCTTGAGCTTCCTGGGATTATAATGGGGTTATTTTGGGGTAACGGAAAATAAAACGGAAACTACTATTTAGGGTAAAGGGGGACTATGATGCAGGCAAAATGGGACCCTCTCAAGCAAGGGTCCTTGATGCAGGGTTGTTTTTCTGTATCTTCACAGCAATGCATTGGAGCCCCCAGTTTGAGACATGGCCACATCTGGACCGTGGCCTACATGACGATCTGGGTCGATGTCCATTGGGTTGGACTTCGGCCCCTTCGGAACGCAAACTTCGGGAGCTGGAGCGACGAGAAGTAGTGCCTCATCGATGTTGAATCTATGTGGGAGGTTCCCAAAATTAGGGGTACCTTTTTGAGGGTCCCCATAATAAGGACTATAGCATTTTAGGGTCTATATTGGGGTCCCCCTATTTTGGGAAGCTACCATGTCTTGACAATGAACACCCCCGAATGTATTACCGGAATGTACTGGGGGAATATTCACTATTAGAGATGCAGTTACGGGGCGCTACCGCTGGTTTGGATGAGGATTGAGGCTCTTTGGCAGCCTAGCCGCCAGGAGATGGGGGTGCCTTGCCGGGTATTCTGCAGCTTCATTCATCACGCTACTCCACGGTTTGGAGCTGAGCGTTGCTCAGCCTATATACAGCTGCTACTGCAGGGGAAAATTTTGGGTGCCCCTGGGTCTCTCTGGACCATGGCAAAAAAAGCTCACGAGTGCTCAGGATTCGATTGGAGTGAGTCCGCTTCCCGCTCTGAGAGAGCTATTCGATGAGATATTCGATGAAGCATTCGTTTCGATTGTTATTGGTTGACCCCGAAAGGAACCTGTCTATGAGTCGCCCCGTTCGCAAGATGCCTCATTTGATCGGAACTGTTGATATCAAAGTCAATGTGGGGATTTGATATCACGAAAGCTTCTTTGCAGGTCTCGATCAGCCAATTTGCTCTTGGTTTGCCTACTCTCCGTGTGTGCTCAATGCGGGGCGCATACGTGCCTTGCTCGAAAAGGACTTGTCTCATCGGACCTGTTGTGGGTGATCTTAAAATGTGTGCTGATAAGGTGATTTTTCGTTTGCGCCATGTTTCTGATAGTCTGACATGTTTGTACTTTGCTGTCTCAGTTAACGTCCTGATTACTTTCTGGTTTGTCCAGTCTCGATTCACGGGTGTGGGTGGTACCTGTAGAACTCGTCTAAGCATTTTCATTTGGAATTCGTCTACGCGGTCCTGTTCTGCACGAGTTAACTGTATTGTTTCTAAGCCGTACAGCAACTTGCCAAAGATGACTGAATTCAAGACCTTAAGCTTCCATCTTTTAGTGGTTCTGGCTTTGGACCAAAAAAGTTTGAGACGGTTAGCTATGCTATTTGCTTCTCCGATTTTCTTCAGAATTTCTCTGCGATTATCAACAGCATCTGTAAGGGTTGCTCCAAGATAAACTGTTTGCTGTTTAGGAGGTACATACGAACCGTCAAGAAATTTCACAGATGACTGATGCTGATTGATGGTTAGGTTAACACATTTATCCAGATTTAACTGTAGGTTGTACTTTTGTGATTCTACTTGCACCTCATGCAAGAGTTTATTAATCGTCTGAGCGTGCGTGCCAAAAATTAGCGTGTCATCAGCATACATCACTTCAGCGAATTCTAGCCCTGGGATAGGTTCTTTCTGCTTAGGTGTGTTAAGTTCAGTCTTGATGTCTTGGAAGATAGCAGATAGCAGAATGCAGAACAGGTATGGGCTGAGTGGGCATCCTTGTCGGATTCCAGCTTTTTGAGCCTTGTATTCGGATTTGTTTTCGCCCTTGACAACCCTAAACTGTGCATTCTCGTACATGTTCCTGATTGTCTGTAGTATGTTTGGCGGCGTGTGTAAGCGCTGCAAAACTTCAACTAGTCGGTGCTGGTCGACTTTGTCGAATGCCTTTTGCCAGTCTAAGCATACAAGTGTAAGGTTCTTGCCCTGTCTTTCTGCCATGTCCATTACAATTCTAGCAATGAATATGGCTTGCGCGGTTGATTTCTTAGCGCGAAATCCAAATTGAGTCTGGGAAATCCATGGATCGATCACATCAACAAGACGTAGCTTAATGAGCGCAGCAAGAATTTTGTAAAAGACCTGCAGAAGTGCTATCGGCCGATAATTTTCAAGCTTAGATGGATCACCCTTTTTGTAAATTGATGCTACGTTTGCATAGTCCAGCGAACGAAAATACTTCCCATTAATCAAGATATCATTATAGTGCGCAAGCAGTTTTGTTCGGTTGTCATTGTTAAGCCGTTTAATAAGCTCTGCGGCAACTTTATCTGGCCTGGAGCCTTATTCCGCTTCAGATTCTTTATGACCTCGTTAAGTTCGTCTATTTCCCACGCCGTATCCTTCAAATTTTCTCCTATGTGAGACAATGGTTGTGTGCGGGGAACATAATTTTCTTCTGGCGGTTTCCATTGGACTTCAGCGAGATATTCTGCGGCCTTCTCAGGGAAGCGTGATTCTGGGATATAGTTGCCTAGGCTGTCCTTAAATTTGCAGTGTTTGGGCACAAATTTCTTTCGGAGAGACTTTATGCCTTTCCACTTGTAACCTTGCTCATCCATAGTCTCTAACTGCTCTATCATGAACTGCTTTCTGTCTTGACGAAGATGTTTGCGTAGTAGTTTTTCAATCTCGTCCGCCTCGTGCATTAACCCTTAACTCATTTTGTCCTGTTTGTCACATAGGAGCTGCCATGTTTCTTCGGAAATGTATGGTTTTCGTTGTTTCGCAGGCACTGGCATGAACGCTTTAGCAGCAGCATCTTGTAAAATGCGTGCCCACGTTTCGAATGGATCCTCAGCTGTAATAACTTGTTGGTGTTCATAAGCTGTGGACACTAAAAGGTTACCTTCTTCAAGCTGCTCATGACTGGGTGGGCTATATGTCAGCGTTTTTTCCGATGCGTTTTTTTGTTTGTGAGCCAATTTAGTAGTAAGACTTGCTACTAATAATTTGTGGTCCGTAGTGATCGGGTGTCGCAAAGTTCTTTCCACATTGGTGATTGATTTTTTCCAAGGCTGGTTAATGAGAACAAAATCAAGTTGCGCATAGCGGTCTGTCGTGTACGGGGCTGAGAAATTTGGCCTCGTCACATTTCTATAAGTCACCAATTTGGAAAATTACTTCTGGAACATGGTGTTCACTACAAACTTTCTTTCTTGACAGAAATCGACAAAGTTTTCTCTGTTCTCTTGCTGTTTTTTCGGAGAGTTGTCCAACTTTGCTATGTTCTTCCCTGAAAATATGCGTCCCAAGTATGTCAACCTCATGTGGAAGCCGTTCCATAAGTCTGGCATTGAAGTCACCTAAGATAATGTTAATTTCGTGGCTGGGAATGCTGTCTATAACATCACTGAGTTCCTTGTAAAACTTTCGTTTCTCATCTTCGCTCCTACCGGCGTGCGGCGCGTATGCAGCAATGACGGTATTCTGCAGCTTGAGGATCCTATCACAACTCCGGCACTTCCACGTGCTGGACGTGAGAGATCGCGAATGTGTAGGATGAAACCCCAAGATCGCGCGCTGTGTGAATGCATATCATTTCCTCGGGAGGTAGGGATATGCTATTAATGATGACGCAAAGGTTGATGGGCTCTCATTGCTTGAGAAATTGCTGGCACAATTCTTTCGGTTGCTGGCAAGCTGCGTTCAGCGCAGTAGCCAGAGAGGCCAGCAACAGCTGGTCAGCTTCCCGGGCTGCAGCGTACCCGGCTGCCCGTGCCTGAAGCCACTGCAGGCGGATTTTTGATCTTGCCACGTCTGCAGTGAAGTGTCACCCTGCTAGGCTTGCAGCCAACACTCTCAAAAGCTCCTCAAGAAGCGAGAACGCTTGAGCCTGCGCCTTCCATGCGATTGCACAGCTGCCAAGCACAACCATCATCACATGTCTTTCATTTTCCAAGTCCGCAGAACCAAAGACTACAGTTTCTGACTTATCCTAGCCTCCTTTTCCGTGGCTTCATCCTTCTGCCAATCTGTCAGCTCCACTTCCTCTGCAGCTGCCTGGGTAAAGAGCTGGTTGGTTGCAAAGGAGCATGGTACCTACGGGGAAGAGGCCGTCTCTTCTTCATCTGCTGGCGGAGGCTCCTGCAGACATCACACACGGCTGACACATTCTGCAGACTGGCACTCTCAGCCCAGTTCCTCGATTTCCTCATAGACGCCTCAGGTGCAAATGAGAGGCAAAAATGGCCCACCGCTGGTTGACTAAGTCGATGGCCCAGCGTAGCGCCATCCGGTGACAATAGCGGAACTGCCACCTGCCAGATCAATTGGTGCAATCTGAGGGATCGTCCAGCATCAAGACAGCAGCATGGCAGCTGTCCTGGACAAATCCTGCCTGCTTGAGATCGAAAAACTTGAATCTCGAAATGTCGTGACCTAAGCTGCTTTGGCACGTATGCCATGCTCACACGCTAGCTGGACTCTTTGGAGACGTTGGGAGTTTGGCGCTTGCGCTGGATAGCTGCCAGGTTTTGCATTGCGGCCGCAGCGCGGCTCAGCTCCAACCTGGACATCTTATGTGTAGATACACACAAATATTAGGCTGTACTTTTTCGGTGTGTAAATAAAGCTGTGCATACACGTTCCTCATACTGCAATTTCTGCATGGTGCAAAACTGCTGGGGCAGGAGCTGCGACAGGAATTCGCTGTCCAAGACCTCTTCGAGCTTGACGGCCGGCACCTCTGGGGCTGTTGGCTCTTCCAGTTCCAGCTGTACGTCGCCCGTCCACCAACCTCTGGGGCTGCTTCCTCCGCTTCTGGTGGCACCAAGGTTGCCTTCAAGCATCTCTTACCTATACTATATAGGGTTATATAGTGGTTCTGTTGGGATAATGGAAAAGAAAATGGAAGCTACTATAATGGGTACTATATAGGATGGGGAATATGTAGGGGTTATATTGGAATAATGGAAAGAAAATGGAAACTACTATATTATAATGGGGTTTAGGGGCCTAAATCAGATTAGGCTGCTTTCTTGAAACAAGGACATTATTTCCTGCCTCCTCTGCTGCAGGAGCATCGGGCGCTTCTTCCTGCAGAGCTTGGATGACTTCCAGCACGGCTAGCTGGCGGCTTTCATGATACCCTATAATAATATAGTAGTTTCCATTTTATTTTCCATTATCCCAATATAACCCCTATATATACTTCATAATAATGTAGTAGTTTCTATTTGCTTCCTCCACCTCTTCTGGGAACTTCAGCCGCACAGGAGGCAAAGCCTCGGGGCTGTCATCTCCTTCTTGTTATAGTCCCCCTTAAGTAGATAGAATATGGGGTATATGGGGATCTTATCATAATATACCCAAAGCCGTATTCTATCTACTTAAGGGGGACTATACATTCTTGGCAGTCTAACTTGACCACCAAGCCCGGTACTCGGAGAAGGAAGCCATACTTCTTGTACTCCTGGACTGCAGTGATGTGTGTATGGGGTAATTTATTTGGGGCTACTATGGTACCAAATATAGGGTTTAGGGCCCTATAATGGAGAATCAAATGGAAAAGAAAATGGAAAATGAAGTGGAAACTAGGCAGCAAGGTGTGCTTTCAACCATGAAAGCCTCCGGCCCCAATAAAGAGAATCAAAAAGGTGCGAAAACATCTGCAGCCATGATTTAATGTCCCTGTGGTCCATGACAAGCCCATGAGAAACACCACAGGCTCCTCCTGTCTGTCGTGCAGCTGATCATGTAATGCCTGGCGGTTAACTGTCATGCAGAATTGTCACTGAAGTCCACCTAATTGGACGAACTCCAGCTGCACAATGAAACTGCTGACACTAGAGCGCAAAAAAAAAGGGGCCTGCTTTATGGGAAATCATTACTCCTGAACCCTCCAAGAACCCCTTATTATCCCACCATGTCAAGCAAATCTCTCGCCTGGCAGCAGCGGTGTTTCGACAGAACCGAGGAGAGGCTCTCCGAGAGCTCCTGCCTGGCCATGCGGGCTAGTGGAAAGAAAATGGAAACTATGTAGGGCTTAGGGCTTAGAATATAGGGATTGTGGGATAATGGAAAAGAAAATGGAAACTACCATATAGGGTTATGTGGGATTATATGAATTGGACAAGAGAATGGAAGGCTCTACAAGCACAATCTGGGTCTCAGATAGGGCAGGGAATCTGTCACAAAATGAGTGGTTTCAACTTGAGGTGCCAACAATAAGTATCGCAATAAATTCTGGGTGTTCACCCTGACCCTAATCAAATGTCTGAGCCGGGTTGCTGAGAAGGAGTCGAATCAAGCTACCATAACATGGACATGTAGGACATCATGTGCTTTCTCCTTTGAATGGCAATTGGATACCCTAAACCCTAAACCCGACAAACCCTAAACCCAAACGCCTTAACAGCAACCCAGTAACCCGATAGAGGCCGCCAAGGCACGGGTCCCCTCGTGCGGCTGCAGATCGCAGCAGAGACAGAGCAAACACAGGCCTGCACATATTGGGGGGGGGGGTGGATTCTGAGAATTAGGGGTCCCTTTGAAGGGGACACAGAGGATATATACACACTTACATATAAATTTATAGACGCACAAGGTTTCGGGTTCCCAAAAAAAAGAAGTCCATCTTTGAAGGTGTAGAAGCCTAGTATTTTGAAATACCCATATTATGCGTGCGGGCTACCCCTTCAAGAGGGGCCCGTGAATACCCTCGGGTACGGTGCGGCAAAACGAGTCTAGTCTTCAACTTCTTCTGCATAATTCCTCTATGACCTTGGAGAAGTCCCTCCATGATCCTATGGAATCCAGAGTAGCGCAGAATCTGTTGCAAATGCCTCTCCGGCTCCTCTCGCAGTACCAGTACTGCGGCTTCCCTCGCCAGAGGCACGTAGTTCTTGTCTGAGAGGTCCTGCGCAAAGCGACTTACGTGTGGAATCATAATTGCCAAAGTGATAGCAGCCAGAACATCATCGTCACATGATCAACATAAGACAGGGTGTCGAACTCAATGAGATTTAGGAGGGACGCATGGATTTCCCGCACCTTCAGCAACTTCAGCAGCGCATCCTTGTCAGTGGAGTCCTGCAAGACTTGGCGCTCACTTTTTCAAGAATCTCCTCCGGGCCAGGACTAAAGTCAAGCCCACCTAAAGCAATATGAAGTATCCTTCAGAAGGGCTGAAAAATTCCAAAGAGGATCCGTGAAACCTCACGCAAAAGCGGTGGTGTAATCCTTCAGGGCCACCATGGCCTTCCTTTCGGCATACTGCCACTGCTGGCCCCCAAGCAGCGCCAACTCGATGGCCTGGGCACAGGCAGCCCAAAACCCCGCTAATTTACTATTACCATTACTATTACTATTGCTATGAATACTACTATTACTAATAGCACTACAATTTCTATTTCCAGTATCATAATTTGTAATAGTACTAAAGTCCATGACACCAATGAAAAAATACCACATGAAGCCCAGCCTGGTCCAGAAGCAGCTTTTGAACTTGGGCCACTTCTTCAGCATCTGCCCGTGGATTCGCAGCGTAGCGCTCCGGCCTCAGATTCTGTGGGCAAGCCATGGCTTGTCACGCAGCAAAATCCGTGCTACGTAAAAAATACCGAAGGTGGATCCCCCCCACCCAGTAATAGTGACTATAAGGGATACTGGTAATTATACTAGGGACCTCGTATAAAACTACTCGGTGTCTTGCAAATCTTGCTCGAGCTGCTTCGTCAGGAAGCTGACCTTTCTCACACAAATCGTATCCATCTGCCGCACACACCTCTCTGCTGTAATGACATTGCCTGTCGTAGTTGCACGGACATGACCGTCACCTGCACAAATCGAAATTGTGCGCTGTGGAGCCCGCTTAAGCAAATGCCCGCCCAACAGGGATTGGAGCAGGGTCCAGGTCCGAGCACTTGGTTCCGTAGGCGCTAGGGACTCTTTCCTGTTCTTACCGTTACTGCTACTGTTACTGTTAATGTTACTGTTGCTGCAGCCGTAAGTGTTACTGTTACGGTTACTGTTACGGCTACTGTTACTGTTACTCTTACTCTTACTATTAATCAATGCAGCTAGGCATACAGGTAAGTGTTTGTCAGCCGATTTCCTGAGCTCCTTGCCTGGTGCAGCAGGTACATGGCCATTCTGCGAGCCTGGCCAGAACAAGAAAACGGACACTCACCCTACAGCTCATATGGTAGTTTCCCTAAATGAGGGTACTCCAATATACACAACCAAATATTATAACCCTCATTACAGGGACCCGCAAATAGTGCCCCTAATTTTAGGAAACCCCCTGTGGGTGTACAACCCGCCGGTAGCAAATCTCACTTCTCCGCGTTCCTAGCTTGTTGCTTATAATATGGAATGAGACGTTGATCTATGACCTGAGGACCCGCTCTCACACCCTGAAAACACAGAATTCAAGCCGCTTCACACTGAAAGACCTTGGCAAAAACTACGGCTCACCTTCGGTCTGCCTATGACAAGGTGGAAAACCTGGCCCGACCCTGCTTAAAGTCATGACGCTTTCACAGAGGTGCTGAGAGAGCGTCCATGTCAATCTGGGCAAGATAACAACCCAGTTGAATCCAGGCCAAATTGTCATCCTCGAAATCCGATACTCTAGAAGCCTGCAATAGTTACAGTCCTTTGAAAATCAGTAATTAAACTCACAGGAATGCAAGGTTTCTCATCATGAGAGTGCCTTGCAGCTCTAACAAGTATGTGGGGAACCTACGGTAATTGTGGAGGCCACTCTTGACGTACATGACAGGCGTGTTGGGAAGTTTTCAGACGAACCTGCCTTCGAGTGCCAAGGAAGCTGCCTGACGCGGCATACGGAGACCAAACCAGGGATTCGGGTGTTTTTGAAAAGGAAGCGTACACCGTGTGTGTGTGTGTGTGTGTGTCTGTGCGCTTGAAAAACGTAAGTGTCCTATTGATGGAAGGACTGTTCCGACATTCCGTTTGCAATCACAATCCAAGTGAACACAAGAAGCAGACAACCGACGATGACAAATAAAACGCATTCCTGCAGTCTAATCAGGAGGAATGCAGAACAATGCTTCCCAAACGAAGAGGAGACTGCCAGTCTACTAAATTGAGACTGCATTGTACTTATAATACTGTCATTTGAAATGCGTATTCAGCCAATGTCGGACAGTCAGTTAGTTATCCATATGCCATGAAAAACCACTCACATGGAATTTTCATGGTGAATGGCGCTCCTCTCGGGCAGCGGAAAGGCTTCAAGGCAAACCACGCACTTGGCAAGCGTGGAGAAGACGATCTGAGGCCTGTCAGGGCCCACAACGGCTGGGTTATAGGGGATAATGGAAAAGAAAATGGAAACTACAGGGATTATAGGGGTTATATAGGGATTACAAGGTATATATGGGATATATGGGGATAAGGGAAAATAAAATGGAAGCTACTATATTATATGTAGCCTAGCTTTGTAAGTTCCAGCAAGTGTCCTCCACTTGGCGCAACTCAGAAAGAAAGCATACCCCATCCCCCACCAGGATCTGGAATGTAGATCTGCTTATACTCTCGTCTGTGCAGCAAATCTAGCTGTCCACATCACATTCATAACATCAACTCTGAACCCTCAACCCAAACACATTATCGGCTCCTGGTGCGGTAGCAGAGCAGGTTGGCCTCAAGCAAACGCCCAAGGGTAGCAAGCACGGAATTGAAACTCGAACTGCAAAACAAAAGTGGCAGCAAGTAGGAGGGGGAGCTTTAATAGAAGAAGGTATTCAACAAAGAGTAGGACTAGAAGACGTGAGTAGGAGGAGAAGTAATGCTGGTGGTACGGTGGTGGTGGTGGTAGGGATCAATGAGGCTTCGACAAGCAGCTCCATCGTAAGCGACACCGCTTGGCAGGTGAGAAAGCAAGAGCCGGCCCTTCGCCTCAACAGCAACATTGCTTATTGTAAAGATACGTATGGCCATCACTGACTGAAATAATGGAAGAAACGATCGTAGTCATATCGCTGATGTTGTTGCTGCTGTTAATCTTAATGTGACCATAGCATTAATA